AATTGCTGGCACAATTTGGCGGAGGGTCGAAAATAGGCACAACACCGTCTCTGAGTCATTTGAAATACAATAAACGTACAAATAAATATTACAGATTAAAAAACGATCGGAAATGTCGTCCAATTTTCTAATAATATTATTTGATGACAACAATACATTTGGAAAACAAAATGCAGCCATTTCTGATTTTTTTCTTTTAAACAAAAAACCAAGTTGCACAGTTTTTTTAAATTTCATCTTTCATTCCAAAATAGAATAATGAATGAACGAAAAAGTACACAGACCGTGTACGTTTTGATCATTTCATTTCCTGTTTGGAATGGAATAACGAGAAATGAAAAGACAGCTTATTTATTCATTTTTTTTTAAAAACATAAAATGAGATTTTGGTTCGATTTCTCATTTTTTGTTTGTGGTTTAGGGGTTCGAGATTTCATGTGGGCGGCGCTGAAATGCCCCTTTAATCTGATTGGTCAAACCGCGACGGTTAATGTCTGAAGCCACCACTCAATGTTAACAACGCATAATATTTTAAGCAGAAATATGTTGCTGGTCAAATAATTTAATGTTGTTGTGACTTATAAGCAACCCCTTTAATGTGAGCTAAATGCTGACAGATTTATTTTAGCATTGTATGATGTAGTAGGCCTACATGTCCCATTGATGAATACAGTGCAAATAGTTCTGTCTCTTTGGATAAAAGTGAAGTGGAAATAGAAATCAATAATAGGCTGAACTGTACCATGATACCGTAGGAAGAGGACAAATATTTGATACACTGCCGATTTTGCAGGTTAAGACGCGCCCACTTTTGACGCAAGGCCTCATGGGGCGTAGGAAACTTGTGGATACTTTGAACGTCAACAAGAAGTGACGTCACCCGACATCGCTTAGAACACCTTTAATCCAGATAATATTACAAATAATACAGTTAACATTAAAATGTTTTAAGTTAAAATGTCAGGTTTTATTTTATATTATGGAAAATGCAGAAAGAATGTTAAAATATATGAGTTACAGGGCTAAAAAAGTCGGGAGAGACTGGCTTTGTTTATTTTCTAAGTGGAAAATTCAAAAAAGCAAGTAAAAATATTGTAAAATTAAGATTTTTTTTTTTTTTTTTTTTTTATGCGAGAGTATGCACTTCCCAATAAAGTTAATTCATGAGCAGGCTAAAGAGGTTATTATGTTTTTTTTTTATTATTATTATTTGTTGTTGTTGTTTTTTGAGGGGACGGGGGGCTATTAACATAACTAATAATGTAACTTATTCCTTTCAAAATAAAGTAATCAGAGCAATAATTAATTTAAAAGCAATTTTAAAAGGAGTAGTCAGTTATCAGTAATTTAATTACATTTTCTGAGTAACACTGAGTTGAGTAACCTCAACACTGATGAGGTGACAACACACTTGGCTTTCGTTGCCACTAGTTCTATGATGTTGGTTTGGTGTGTCATGACCTTAAATTGAAGTATGTTTTTGACTATTTTTGGTTCACCCGTATATATGAAGTACTTTCTGAATAATCTATTAATTAAAGTTATAATATGTAGGATTTTGGCAGTAAAATATCCAAAAAACACTATGCCAATGTTATATATTTTGTTTAGTTGATTACTTACAATATCCCCAATGTTTACAACTATTTGTAAATCGGGAAAGGAAAATGAAACGGGATGTGTGAGCAGGGGTGAGGAGTCGCCAGTCAATGGTGTTATATCCGCGGTTTTCGCTCATACTGCCATAATAACCATGGCGACAGACATGGACAACTGGGTTATGCTTAGCAGGACGCTCATGCTGTTTTGTACAAACATTATGGACCATGGGAAGCAGACTTTGATACAAAAAGAGGAGTAGAACGGAGATCAAAATATTTCGAGATGCCAAGAGCTCCACATCCGCGACTAACTTCGACTTGACGACAAGATCCATAATTCCGCTTATTGCTTTGCGTCATCAATATATGCCTTTGTTATTATAAGAGGTTAGGGTAACACTTTATTTGAAGGGGTGTGCATAAGACTGACATGACACTGTCATAAACATGACATAACACCTGTCATGAACATGAAGGAGTCTTTATGAATGTTTATGACTTTTGTCATTAAGTGTCATTCGGTAAATTATGACACATTTAATGCAAAGTTGACATGGTTTAAAATGTCTTTGTTATGACAACTTGACATTATCAAAGACAAAAAAAGACTTGATTATGACAACTTGACATTAACAGAGAAATCATAACCTGTCAACCTGACATCTTTATAACTAGTCCAACATGTTCCACTTTACTTGAGGTAAGGGGAAATATTAATGACACTGTTGTTAAAGCATTTGACAGTGTAATAACCCTTAATGACATCTTTATAACTAGTACAATGTGTTCCACTTTACTTGAGGACAAGTAAAATATTCATGACACAGTTATAATGGTTTCATGACGGCCAAAGTCAAACCAACCACATATGACAGGGTAATGTAATGTTAACGCAAAGCTAAATAACTTCTTTAAGTTTGATAATAAGACCTGTTATGACATATTTGTGACAGGTTATGATTTCTTGGTTAATGTCAAGTTGTCATAACAAATACATTTTAAACAATGTCAACTTTGCATTAAAAGTTTCATAATTTACCGAATTACACTTAATGACAAAAGTCATTCCGTCCTTCGGATGAGACGTTAAACCGAGGTCCTGACTCTCTGTGGTCATAAAAAAATCCCAGGATGTCTTTCGAAAGAGTAGGGGTGTAACCCCGGCATCCTGGCCAAATTTGCCCAGTGGCCTCTGTCCATCATGGCCTCCTAATCATCCCCATATACACCAATTGGCTTCATCACTGTCTCCTCTCCACCAGTAAGCTGGTGTGTGGTGAGCGTTCTGGCGCACTATGGCTGCCGTCGCATCATCCAGGTGGATGCTGCACATTGGTGGTGGTTGAGGAGATCCCCCCCTTCTATGTGAAGCGCTTTGAGTGTCCAGAAAAGCGCTATATAAATGTAACGAATTATTATTATTATTATAAACATTCATAAAGACTCCATGTTCATGACAGGTGTTATGTCATGTTTATGACAGTGTCATGTCAGTCTTATGCACACCCTTTCAAATAAAGTGTTACCGAGGTTAGCGACCCCTGGTGGTGAAAAATCCTACATATTGTACCTTTAAAGGAACACTCCGACTTTTTGGGACTTTAGCCCATTCACCTTACCCCCCAGAGTTAGATAAGTTCATACATACCTTTTTCATCTCCGTGCGTGCTATAAGTCTGTTTGACGCACTCACCGCTAGCCTAGCTTAGCACAAAGACTGGATGTGAATGGTTGCAGCTTTCATACTAATCCGAGTGACAAAATAACGCAAACGTTTTCTTATTTACATGTTGTGATTTGTATAGTCACAGAGTGTGCAAATATCAAGGCCATATGAGACACAGACATCTTTTAACCGTATAAATACTATATTTTCTGAAGGCGAAGCACTGCTACTTGGGCAGAGTGATAACAATCACCTGAGACGCACCGTGACGAGGAGCAGAGAGTTCGCTCAGTGTTGGCGTTAGATAGAAAAGCATAGTTTATCATGGGTGTTTGCTTTATTGTATGAGCTGTGACAATAAACAGGGGAGACCAGGTAATACAGTACCATGTTTCATTGATTTCCAACCAAAAACGCACCCAGATTTATAAATATCACATGAATAAATAATTATTATTACAGGAATCAATATATTTTAAATGCAATTTATTAGCTGAACCAAATGTATTCAACATTAGCCTATATAATACAGTATTGCATTACTATAGGATAGAATAAGGGGAAAGTAATAGCACAAATTGTTTTTGCACAATGAACTCACAGCCTATCGTACCCTTTTGCACGCTCAAGTTCGTTATTTCCATGGTTATTTCAAATTTAGGCTACTAGGCGCGCCGCGCGCAGGGTGCAAGTTCAACGCGGTGAACGCGCTCGTTTTTTTCCAAGCGCGTCCGCACCGCATCAAGATAAAAACATATTCATACCCTAGTCATATAATAGTGTCACTAACGTTACATTAGCTCTGGCTAATGGCACTGTTACAGTAGGTCATCATCTAAAAACATAACGGAACACTTACCTCAGCCGCAGGTGATCCACTTGTCCTGTCTGTGCTATCGATGGGATAGCCGTATCCTTCAGCACATTATGGTCCGTGTGGCAAATTCCATTTTTCAGAATAGTCGTCCATTGAAATGTACCGAGCAAACATAATGTCCCTTGATAATCTTGGGTGTGTTTGGATCAATATCCAGAGTAAGTTAGCCATTTCTTCATCCAGTCAGCGTTTTTAGTTGGAATTCTGTGAAACATGGTATTACCTCCCCTGTTTACTGTCGCAGCTATTTACAATAGAGCGAAAACCCATGACTCTAAACTACGCTTTTACTATTTATAAATTGCTGACTCTGTTACCCAAACACTGAGCGAACTCTCTGCTCCTCACCACGGCGTGTCTCAGGTGATGCGGTTATTACTCAAAGTAGCCAAAGTAGCAGTGCTTCGCCTTCAGAAAATAGTTCCCAGGTTTTATACGGTTAAAAGATGTCTGTGTCTCATTTGACTTTGTTATTTGTACATTATGTGACTATACAAATCACAACATGTAAATAGGAAAACGTTTGCGTTATTTTGTCACTCATTTGGATTAGTATGAAAGCTGCAACCATTCACATCCAGTCTTTGTGCTAAGCTAGGCTAGCGGTGGGTGCGCCAAACAGACTTATAGCACGCAATTATAGCATGAAAAAGGTATGTATGGACTTATCTAACTCTGGGGGGTAAGGTGAATAGGCTAAAGTCCCAAAAAGTCGGAGTGTTCCTTTAAATGAAAGACACTACAAACAAAATTGGTTTACCATTGGTTAAATCTCCCTGGTTTGAATATCACAATAGGAAAGCATTGTTTCTATTCAAAATCTTGTTTGAATATTTTCACTTGTGTGAAAGGTTCTTAATCTTATGAGGTTTTAAAACAATGCTTTGTATAGATTCATCTTTACACAGATTCCTACCTTTGGCCACAAGGGACGGAGTTGGCACAAGGTGTCTGCATCCTTGATTGCTTGACTGAAATTCTTCATTTCCAAAAGCAGCTCTGCCCGCCGAGCAAGAAGCCAACATATAGAGGGCTCTGTAGAGAGAAGAATGGGTTTAACTTAAAAGTAGGGCTGGGAGATAAAACGATATGGTAAAATTAAAACGATGTACTTTTTCTTGATAAAACAACACCAAGAGTTCAATAACTGTTCAATGTAATGTTTATGCGCTAATGTGGAACGCTACTCATTTGAACCACGTCATTTATTCACGCCATTTGAACCACGCCATGGATCCGCTCGCCAGCGTTCAAACGGCAGCGCTGTGCGTTTCCGCTCACTACGTGCACTGTGCTCTCTTTGTCATTCACGGCCCAAACACTCCACTCATGCAGTCACGATCACCGTAAATCCGCTCAAATAAAATGTCAACATGAAATTTCTCTGGACTTATTTCTGTTTGCAGTAGCCCTACTGTGCTGTAACATGGTGAGGATTTCTGTCCAATTTTTGCGCGTTATATAAAAGTATGGTTATTTTACTTTATTGGCTTGTATTATTTTCAGTATAATCATTGATAATTTCATTAAAAAGTCTAATTGTCACAGTGTCTGGTTGTGTTCCCTTGTTTGTCCACTAGATATCCTCCTTCCCCTCGGTGTCATGTACTTCTGGAACTGCATTTCCCAGCATTCTGTCTGTCACTGTTACTTAGCTGTTCATTGCACTCAGCTGTTTCCTTTATCATTGTCTCAGCTGTTCATTGTTAGTCTTGTTAGATCTGTGTGTATTTATTCCCTGTCTGTGTCAGTATTATAGCCCCTTTCACACAGCGAGTTGATCCCAGGAAATTGCCGGGAAATTGCCAGAACGCCTTCTGTGTGAACGCAAACACGACCTGGGATTGATCCCGGGTTGGGGACCTAGTAACATTGCCGTAATCAGTCCCAGAACGCGCGCTGTGTGAACAAAAGCCAGGACCAAAGGGTGTGTCATAGTGATTACGCTCGTGCCATCGCGCGACTCTGTTGCTCTAGAAGAAAGTTTGTGTTCGTCATCAACAAAGAAAGGACGAACAAATACCTGCAAACTGGAGCGAAGCAGAGACCAGGAGCTCCTCACTATCCGTTAGGGGTGTCCATGGTTAACCGGTTAACCGATTAACCGTTTTTGCTCGGTTAAGTGGCGTCAATACATATTGCGTTTTTTTTTTCTGATTGTCGATAAAAAAATATTGTGAAATGACAGCGTTTCTATTAACGGTGTTATGCGACTAAAACATTTTTTTTTCCTTTCGCGATAAGCCATTCCAAAAATAATGGCAACGGACGTTGGTATATCACAGCCACCGCACTAGACATTATTATTATTTATGAGACGTGGTGTGTCATCCAAGCATTAATGGCAGGGAAAGTCACAGAGTTTCTGTGTGTTTCTCCCTCATTTCTGCTCCGCGGTCTTGATTGTGGCATTTCTTTGAGGTTTTGTCTAGTAGGCTATTCCTTGTATCTTTTATGAATTTTAAAAAAGAACTCTGCCTCGTATATATCCAAACGGTCAGTGTACTTTTGTGTTCATTCGTTTCCCCTTATTTAATTCGTAGGCCTAATTGCAAAACGAAAAATGAACGGTTGTTGTATTTTGTAAAACGCAGAGTTGAACACCAAAATGTTCATTTGAACTGTACTACGTCAAATGCTGCGCAAAAATATATAGGCTATATAGCGACGAATTTTCAGATATTTGTTTGATTTTTTGCCCCTTTAAACATTTAAAATATTTGACAAATGAATATGGAAAAAAAAAAAAAAGATTTTACTGGTTTTCTGAGGCCAAATTAGAACCTGGAAATTATATTTTCCCCGCAGTGCTGAATGAGAAGAGCCGTAACCACAGCCTACAGAAAGGGGATTTATAGATTATTTATAAGATATAATAAATGTGTCTGATAATAAAATAATATAAAATAACGAGGCATTAATTGTTTATTAATAAACTATTGTTTTCTAAATCAGTTTCTGCTAAAAACAAATCTCCATCCCCGGATGCACCTTTAGAGAGAAATACATAATTAGCTAGGCTACATAATTACATAGTCAGAAGATATTGGCTTTTGATTCGAATTTGTTCATTTTAAATTGGACATTTAAAGCTTTAGTCTACTCAGACTAATGCTTTAAATGTCAAATTTAAAACGAACAAATTCGAATGCTGTGGCTGTTTCAGTTCTCGCGCTTCAGTTCACGGAGATCATGAAGCGCGCCTGTTTGTTAAAGCACAATGTTTTCTTGTTACTGTGAGTTTACGCAAATAAATGTATTTGCGAATAATGTATTATTATTTTCTGTATGACCAGAAATGAAAGAGTATTTTAAGTTCTTTCCACTGAAAGAAGTGCAATGAAACTGCAAGTGTTCACATGGGCGTCTCGCAGCCTCCACACTAAGCACACACACTGGATATGCGTCAAAATATTGTGTTTATTTGTGCTTTGTTCCTTTTTTGGATAAAAGCGTCTTCTACATATGCAGCCTATAAAATGTTACAATTAATGATGATTATTATTATTATTATTTGCGGACACGGAGTTTTTGCGAAATGGACGTGTTGCCAATGTGCGTATTTTCAATTGGCAATTTCAGTTTGAAGGGTGATGGAAACGTGCCTACTTTAACTGCTCTGAACTTACCACTGCGTTTTATTTCTATAAATTAATTTCGTTTCAAATGGGGTCCAACCAGTTATTAAAGGTGTTAAAAATTAATTAACTCTATCTCGAGGTTGTGGCGCGCACACTATGGTTAACCGAGTATTAACCGATAAGGGCCTCGGTTAACGGTTAATGAAAAACTTGAAAACGTGCAGCCCTAATCCGTACTGAAGCTGAGATCGTTCACCAGCTTTGTGGAACGGTATGCGCGTGTACATGTTTGACGCGTCCGTTAAACCCTTGACTGTTATTTTAGTCGTAAAAAGAATGTGCTTTTAAAGTTAATGATTAAAGTGTAATAAAAAATACAAAAAAATTAGGAATGACTTTAAATTTATTGAGGTAATACAGACATTTACTCATAGCCTTTTCAGGACAAATACTGCATGATGCAACATAACACTGCACTCTTCAAGTAACAACAAAATATGGTTATGAGCTTTAAAGGGTTAGTTCGCCCATTTAAGATATGAAGTTGTATGCAATCCTTACCAGCACTATAGTGCATACACACTGACCCACTCTGTTGTCACCCCCCTGGTCAGAGTTCTGTCCGCTGGAAGTACTCCCGGCTATTTTCCGGGGCCACAAAACTGTGCGTTTTGACGTGAAAAAATGATTTGCGTTTCAAAGCTTGATTAATTTACCACACAAAAAACACGCCGGTCAAAATTTATACCTAATGTGTTTTAATGTGGCACTATTTTCTATCCATTCCTATCAATCCGCACTACCGCAACGTCAACAGTGCGCACGTTACGATCAGCTGTTCCAAAGTGTTTAAACAATCGATTGACAACTAGGTAAAAAGTATTAAATTAACAATGGTGCGAACTTGTAAATTCCCAGGCTGTGACCACAAGGATGTGTCGGGATCAAAGTTCAGATTCCATCCAGGGTTCGTACACCTTTTCCAAGGTCAAATTCAAGCACTTTAAGCACTTTCAAGGTCCATTTTAAGGTCCAGGACCTTATCCACCGTAAATTACAAACCAATACATAGTAAAAAAAAAATTATTATTTTGCGTTTTTTCCACATTAAAAGAGATAGTATGAAATAAACAGGCAAAATTGTGTGTCGTAATAGCAGAAATTCAGTTTCACGGTATGATTAATTTTATTTCACGGTAACGATATATTTCACGATATAGTTATTTTTACATGTAGTTATTCTCCAAAAATCATCATAAAGGGCTTTGTATACTAAATAAACCCAAATACTTCAGAAATGAAAAGTTCTTCTTCTTGTTTGACTTTTATTTGGCAAATAATTTATTTGACAAACTATTTTGATAGCTAAATATAGTGAAAAAAACATATCAACTTTTAGAAGAACTTCCCCCAACTGACTGATATTAAATACAACTCATAGGTGCAATTAAACTTTAAATAATGTGTTGCTGAATAATTTTTCAATCTCATGTTATTGCTTTACCTTATCAATCAGTTTATAATATCTATATATTTTATTTTGAACTATTCTATTCATAATAATTTAGTAACTTACTTTTAATTTGGTAGGATAATATTAGCAATACTATTATGTTTAAATGTGTTTCCCGGTACATTTTTTTGCCATGTCTGCTTATTATACTTCGTTTTTTAAGGAGCTTGTTCAACTCTTTTTGTGATATCTGGCAACCGGTCACCTGGAGCTTTAATCAAGAGACGTTCAGAATCAGTTGTGTCAAGTTCAGAAGTAACTAGAAGGAGAGCAGCAGTATGAAAACCGTACAGCAGCTACTGTTAATGTTGACTAAGCAGTTACACACCTATATTATACACACCTTGTAACTGCGTCATTATTTAAAGGGTTAGTTCACCCAAATGTCGTTCCAAGCCCGTAAGACCTCCGTTCATCTTCGGAACACAGTTTAAGCTTTCTGTTCCAAATGTACCTTATACTGTCCTTGTCGATAAAGGCAATAAAGACATCAAAGTAGTCCATGTGACATGAGTGGGTTAGTTTGAATTTTTTGAAGCATCAAAAATACTTTTTGGTCCAAACATAGCAAAAACAAAGACTTTATTCAGCATTGTATTGTCTTCCGGTTCTGTTGTCAATGCTCGTTCACGATTCCGCAATGACGCTGCTGTGCTGACGTGTTATCTGGTGCGTCCATGTATTTGGGTTCAAATAAATATGGCTGGGCAAAAAAATGCAAGTCTTCCTCTGTGTCGAAATCCTTAGACATGTTTGCAAAGATTGTTTTGTTTACAGCATGCATCTCGCTCAGACTGTAAACGAGGCTCGGGCGCACAAGATAACACGTCAGCACAGCAGCGTCATTGCGGAAGCGTGAACGAGCAATGACAATAGAGCCGGAAGAGAATACGCACAACCGGCGCTGCGTCATAGAATAGGCTTGTTCGACTTCATGCAGC